TGCCCAACGTGAAAGAAGTATCGTCACCAGTAGAACCACTGGAAAACCACGGATAAAAATTACTGAATTCCAAACTGACCTTTTGCCCTTTGATCTTGATATTTTTAATGTGCCGTATTTATATTCGTACTGCTTTTAATCATGTAAAACATATTGTGAACATTGAAAAGCAGAATCATGAATTATATTAGTGAATATTACGAAGTTATTAAACAGTATAATTTCGAAAAAGACTGTTATACTAAAATGAGATACAGCAATTTAGTGTAGTGAAGTGTCGCAATAATTTTTGATTTTTTGGTTGTGTTCATTTAATTTCATTTAATGACGATTGCATACATATCTTTAGCAATCATTCCTTTTTCACTTTCATTAATAGTGTCCATTGATTATCTGATCATCGGTAGTTTCATTGCATTGGCATATGTCTGTTTCTTCTTATCTAATGTTTCTAATATCTGCTTCGTAATAACTTCAATTTATATTTTCTACTGTACCATTGTGTTTATTTCTGTTGCACCAATATCATGCTTTAGGAGTCAGCTCTTGGTAAGCTTTTGGCCTTCTACAACTAACCACAGTTTTATATTTAATTGTATTTATCAGTTTGTTAATTTATCTCATGCTCTTCCGATCAATGTTACAGCATATTTGTGAAGTTGTTATCATTTTGCAGAAACAGGAAGCTGGCGATATTTTTTATAAAAGGCACATTCACTACACCAACATGAGTTCCACAATTTGCGAATTACCTCCCAATTTTGTTAATAATTGACGTAGCAGTCCAATAACTGCTTCGAAAGTACGTAAATTATCTTGTTGAAAACATTCTGAGGTTTTTCTGTTTTCCACTTGAATGGCACTTGAAGTGATCTAACATCCATCTTTCAAAATTACGGTTATTGAAGCGTTGGTTTTTCGTAATGACTGCTTTTTGCTGAAAACAGGCATCCTCCCAGCAAAAAGTCCCGAGGATTTGTGGTTACATGAGTCAGTTAGATCTTGGAACTGGCAAGCAGGGAAATAATTTGTTGTCCGATTGTTACATCATCAGATGTTGTCCCGTTGAAGTTATGTTTGCACACCTATTGGAAAAGCTTTTAAAGAACAATCGCAAATCGTGTTGACTGCAGCGAACATTCTCTTGAGATGGGTTGCTATAATATTTGATAATGTTCTGATGTTACTCGCTTCATTGATCATAGCATAAATCGCTTGGATAAATTAACTACTTAAATTTCTCGACAATTATCATGCTAGGTGCAGTAATTCAGTTGAAAAATGGGTCAAAAGCCGGACCCGGGTTTGTAGCAATTGTAATGCCACGGCTTGTAGCAAATGGGTGGCGCTATTTAACGACTTTTATTAGAATAGCGACTGGGTGTAATGAAGTGGTGAATCGTCCATGAGTCGATAAAATAGAGAATAAATGGTGAAATCAAATTTAGAGGATGAAAATGAGACATGGAATCAGCGCACGAATATGGGGACTTTTAAGCGGAAAGATCGCACAGTCTCGAATTGTCCCTCGTATTCTAAGTTTCTACATCAGCTCATACTGAAGATTTCCGCCGACTACTGCGCTGCTACACTATTCCACGACAATAAATTAGGGCAAGAAAGGTAATGTCTGTGAAAATTATGGTAAAATTGCCAAAAAATAAGTTCATGGAGCAAGCAAGTATGGATGGAATCGAATGATGAGTCAAACGCCTAGACAGTTGGAAGTTACAAATTGTTATCCAAAAAGTGATGTGTTAAGTTCCATTTTCAGAAAAACGCAACGTTTGATCACCATTTAGAAGGCACCAGTACAAATTCCGTGAAGGATGGAGAAATATGAGTGATAAAAATAATAAAGCTGTATGTGCATTCCGACTGTATATTTAATTTGTAGTACTTCATAATAAAAATTACTAATAATAAGCAGTTCGGGATCGAGGAAATTTTGTTCTTGAACTTCTCCATTTCTTACAGTTCTGTGAATGAAAACAAAATTTTGAGCGATGAGACGAGCACGCAACATAAAGATGGTTAGAAGTGTGAAAATATGATTTAGATTTGAATTAACAAATATTTGCACGAAGTGGCTTTTCTTAAAAAAATTTACGCGTTGGATAACAAAACAATGAGCATATGTTAAAACATTAAACAGAGAACTCGCGACTTCGGCAAGATGACACCTTGTTTCGATCAGCGAGGAACTATGGAATAAAATGAAATTTTTGATTGCTGATCTCCTGATCTTTTCCAACATTGTCAGGTTAAGAAATTCAGCACACGTATTGCACTGAGCATCGTATGAACCGACTGTTCCGGAAAAGAAAAGAAAAATCTCTGCTTGTCAAGTTCAAAATGATTGCTTGAATCATCACTGACATAAATCAATGACATCAAACTGGAATGAACTGCTCGTCCAAAATTTTCATATCAAATAATACTAAGTGTTGTGAATGTTTTGGTTTGGTTTGATTGTTTGGCGATAGCTTTGTTTGTAGTCGAATTATTTGGCGAACGTTTCTTTGGAAAGGTTTGTTTCTCCGACGTTGTAAGACTTTTATCAGTGTTTGTCAGTAATAATATGATTGATGATGTTAGTTTGAGAAGACATAGTTTGGGATTCGTTGATTTAGTATAAAACGGAGAAACTTGGTGATATATGTTATTAGCAGAAATATGAATCAAAGGAAAAGTAAGATCTAATTTTGATTCTAATCAGAAGCATTAATTTAAGATCGATATTATGGCTAACGAGGCACCAAAGATTGAAGCAAATAATAATTACGAAATTCATTATAATAAAAGAATTATCAGATATAAAAGTTAGTTATTTCGAAATTTCCTGTAAAATTAAATAAAAAGTGGTAATTAATCACACAAGTGACAATCTTACTCACAAATAAGATTTCGTTGTAAACATTACTATAAATCTGTCTACTGGCAATTTTTTAGAAATATTTTGAATATAAATCTATAGAAAATACTGTATTATGAGATAATTTCGGATTTCCGACATTAAAATCCTTGGTGATAATCATTTAATATTACTAACATGATTTCAAATTTTCTTTATCTAATGAAAAATAAAAGTTATTTACAGTGCCGTTCGTTGGAAGGTTGGATGAAACTTCTTCCGACTTCACATTACATTATTTTCTTTCTAATTCAAAAGTTTCTCCCTGTCGGAAGTCAGTTTCCACTGGAATCCTGCTCCATTGCAGAGTAAATTCAAATCTATTTACCAGTTAAATTTAATACCACCATCATATTCCAAGTACGTATTCAGTATAACACATGACAAGTTTGATTGTGACACCAGATCTTCTTGACCAATCGTTCAAAGATAAATGTTGAATGCTTATAATGCTGAATAGTTTTTCATATGCTCACTTTTCTAACATTCACAAATGCAGAGCATCTCTACTACTTTTCAAAGACTTCCAATCATTTTTCCTTCATATTTTTTTAGAAGATTTGAGAAAAAGGCTCCAAAACAACTTATGGGCAATATTTCCGAAGCAATTTATACGAACAGCATACGGAAGAAGTGTAACTGTTCCATTCAACAACTCATAACAGTGATAACGAGTTTGCATGAATCTTTCTGCTATCTCAGCGCAACATCTGAAGTGCATCGATATTCCACTGTCTTTTCGAACATCTTTTCAACTATTAATGGTTGTGCCATCGGTCACAGAATAGACCTTTTCGTAGAATTCAATGAATTAGCAATTACAAACCAACTGATTTTAATGCTTATTTATTTACTTTCTCTGTTTTTCAGATACTAAATGTCAAGCTGTTGCTTTATTTCATTTTTTTTTTTGCAAAACAATTCAACAAGTACCCTGATAAACATTGGTTGAATCCATTATCCAACAAATCGTTTCAGACAGTGTCCAAACTCATCTCGTTAATACTAACAACATTTCTCAATTAGTTCATGCGGACCATCGAGCATCATCAAATCGTAGCAATCCTTCAATCGAAATGCTTTAAAATCACTATCATCTGAGTTAGCATAGTTGTTTGATGCACGGAGAATGAATTATTTTCACATCAATTTATATTACGTCAATCGCCATTTTCACTACACTAACTTTGGTCTTTAAAAAAATTTGGTCTCAAATGTTGATATCTCTTTTAAAACTTTATCAATGTTAATTAACAACTTATAAAGGTAAAATATCTTCGCTTTAAATTAAGTATTATTAATTATGTATTCAGAGGAACTATACAGGACTTCCTAGTGATAATCGCACTTTAGCTTGTATCAGTAATATGATAATGTGCCAAATTTCAAGCCGTTTCATCTTAGCGTATCTTTGGATGTTGATAGAAACATGCAAATAATAAACATCGATATTCTCAAATTCCTCACCTTCAACTGATAACAATTTCATTTCATCCTTTTCATTCATACAACTTTTCACACATAAAAGTCGAAACTTAAGAAACTTTCGAACTTCCGAACAAGTTTTACGTTATTCCTAGTTCACATTACATCACACAGAGAAAGAGAAAGAGAAACGTGTAGAGACAGAGAGACAACACAAGAAGTCTTATAGAATTACTGTTTGAACGTTTTCGAGTGGAGTCATATGGTAGCATTGCTGTTCAAAGAGACCACCAAGAGAGCGGACCACACACGAAGTTTGTTCTGCGTCAAGACAGCGTGTTGCCCCTGAAGACAGAAAGGCAAAGGGGGAAATATGTGCGTGATCAACACATAAGTTGGACGATTGATGTGCTGCTTGATCCAAGAAAGAAAAAAAGCTCAAATTTTAGTTGTAATGTATTTGTGTATCCGAATATTTTTTCAGTTTCTAACGTTGAGAAAATTTGCAAGCAATCATGGCATACAAAAACAATGCTGGTAAGGAAAGTGTGCAATGTCGCACTGATCTGTAACAGACACCACCGTAACTTGTAACAATCCAGTGCTTCTCATTATAACTCACGTGACGTGATCCATAGGTTTTCATCCCAGTTGCAAAATAATGTGTTACCAAACCGATGCTTCGATGGGTGAGGGTAAGGTGTGATGGTAACAATTTCAGCATCACTTTGCTGCGTTTTAGGGTTGTGAATGCGGTCACTTTTCTATACGAATTTTTGAATAGATAAGAATAGGGATATGAAATTGTGTTGATGCACTTTTACTAATAGCAAAAACAACAACAGTTATTTTGCATTCAATCAAACTCTTTTTAGGTAAACGTACTGCCGATATTGTTAGTATAGCAACTTGAAATATGCCGTCAAGAATGAGTGTAAGTGCTTCATATATTTACAATTTATTATTGTTATTAGCCAAAATAAAGTCATTACTCTGATTTTACATATGCTGAAATATTCAGGGAGATCCTGAAAGTGTCGAGAATGGTTCTACAGATTTGCAAAAATTGCTTGCACATACTACTTGGGAACCGAAGCTAACTTTTATTGGTGGGGGTAAGATAGCAGCTGCTCTCATCTGTGGTTTTGAATCTGCTGGTAAGTAAGAGATATTGTATTATGTCGTCACTAAAGGCTTATTCTTCGAACTCAAATTTCACATACGTAATGTATGTGATTTCATAGTATCAGACCATATCGAACGGCGAAACAATAGTGTTTTATTTTTCTTGGTATTTGATTTTGTTTCAGTACTGTTATGGAGGAGGCATGATTGATTAAAGCTTACTTATAGTTGTTTGTTTGCTTGTAATTGTGCAGAGAGATATTTAATATACTGCAGCAGTTTCATATCGTTCAGGTCTCGTGACTAAAGATGACGTTGCAGTCAGTGTTAAAACAGCATTATCCGTACAGCGGTGGAAGGTATTATATGTTTAGATTTTATAAAAGGTTTGAAAATATAAATTACAAACATTTTGCTAAGGAACTCAAATTGTAGCGATTGGGATATGTAAATGTGTACACATCCAATGAATTCCTGATTCGAGCTCATGGCCAAGGTATGTACTACATATTCATTTGCATTCATAATACCATAATACCATTTTCATCCTGTTTTACGTAATTTCTTTACTCAGTATTATGAAACTGGAGAATCTTGATAGCAACCTTCATCATCATGAGTGGAAAATCGTCAAAATAAAATGTCGTAGTTTTCAGGGATTGTTTTTTTGTCGGTAAAACCACAGATGCGCACAGCAGTGTTGGAGGAGTTGAGTAATAAGGCATTTACAAATACTCCATTGATTGTCTCTGTTATGTGTGGAGTTGACGTGAAGACACTGGAGAAAGAAGTATATTTGCTTCAAGATACTTTAAAAATTCAGTTAATTCAAAGTTTTTAATGCTGAGATTTTTTTGGGTAGATGCCTCAGTGATAATCAAAGTAAATCAGTAGAGCTGTGAGTAAAAACAGAAACAAACGGTTTTAATTTGGACTCATAGAGCGAATGAATGAATGTTTTAAATCAGAATGGTTAAGAACCTATTTTTTAATGTAATTTAACGATCGTAACATTTTTCGGGATCTCTGCAATTGGTAAAAAACGTGTCTCTCTTCGTACAACTTATTTGATGTATTTTTAATCGGCCTGACAATTTTAAAGAAATTTAAGGTTGTGGCTAAAGGTTATGCCTCAGAACGTGGAGTGGTGCGTTTAATGACAAATCTCCCAGTTTCTATGTGTTCTGGAGCGTCCATCATATGCTCCAGCTTATGCCTGGAGGAGGAAAAGGTTTCAGTTTTTTTTTTCTCTCTATTTAGTAGTCTTATTTGAATATGAATCGCTGTGAAGTGAGAGAAAAGTAGAGTGAATTTAAGTAATTAATGTCAAACAGCTTTGATATCGAACTGCGGTATTTGTACTTGTAGTCTTTTGCAGATTGATTTAATCAAGAGTATCATGCAGTATGTTGGTATTTGCTTTATAGTCAATGAAAAATCATTTAATGCGGCTGCAGCAATTGCAGGATGTGGACCAGCTTTTGTTAGTTTTGATACCATTTCTTTGAGAATATTTCTTATTTTGGAAACTTAGCTGGAAAAGTAAAACTTCTCTAGGATGACAGTTTGCATAAAAACTTTTATGTATAGCTATGACAAGTCGTAGCTTGCTGACTTGCTAATTTCAGATGTTCATGGCAATCGAAGCATTGTCAGATGGGGGTGTCCTTGGTGGTATTGATCGTACAACTGCAATGAAACTAGCTGCTCAAGCTGTCATGGTGAATTTATTTCTCGTATTTTTAGGCGTTTTTGAGTGTATTTGATAAACATTTGTTTAGTTTTTTCTTGGTTTTGTTCTCACAACCATGAAGTGGAACTATCATTATTGTAGTTGATGCGGTTCGGAAGGTTTAGAGGGGAAGATTCATAGGTATTTACACTATTCATTCACTTATAAATTGAATAGTTTTAAAAGGAGATAAAAAGTAAACCCACGAGAAGTGCAAAATAGTTTCACATGATTCACAAAAAAATAAGAAATAATAATATGGAGAGCCATCATTGTATCAAATTAATTTAAATTTCATCGTTACATGTAAAGTCCTGCTAATTTCACTTACGTAACTTTATTGTTACAGGGAGCTGCAAGAATGGTTTTAGAAGCGAGTGAACATCCAGCTGCTTTAAAAGATGACGTTTGCTCTGCTGGTGGTAGTACGATATATGGAGTGAAGGAATTAGAAAAAAACGGTTCTCACTTTTTTACTTACAATTCTATTCGGTCAGATTGTTTATTGCTCATAAGTACCATCCTTTTCTTATTTTCAGGTTTTCGCTCGGCTTTAATCGAAGCAGTGTATGCTTCAACAAAACGAAGTTCGGAACAGGCTTAGAATTTGCCTTCCAACAGCAATTACTTTGGTCACGACCTACCATACTGTCTTTTTTTGCAACACTGAAAAATGTTTGGAAAAATAATTTTTATAATGCAGTGTTTTTCAGGTACTAAAAATTGCACAGTTAATGTTTCGATTTAACACACTTTTCCGTGTTTTTTTGTCTCAACTACTGCATTTATTTTGCATAAGTGTTTATAACCTTGGTCATGGCAGTTGTCAGAATAGGTTTCTTACTACTCGAAAGTTTTTGCATGAATATTTAACAGATGCAATAAGCAAAAGAAATCTAATCCTTTTTCTGTTAGTTTGGTTTGAATAGTTGAGATATTATGAACATATTTCATTTCGGGTAAGAGGTGTAAATTTTTGAATAGGCTGGCATCATGTCAGCACAAGGGAAAGATTTCATGTTTTTACCGGTCCACAGTGCATTCGAGAATCATTACATTTTAACTCTGCATATTTTCACTTTAAATTTCTTGTCACTATCTGATGACAAAATCTATAGTTTCCCTATATCTTATTGATTTTTAGTTGTTCCGGTTGTGCTGTTGGTATGTCCGACCATTTATCACTTATTTTGTTATCATCTCGTTATCTGTCACAGTTTTATCATCTTGTGAATATTGTTTAGACTTGTTTTTTTCTTCTGTGCATAAAATTGTTTTCATGTTTTTATAGTTGTTTGTGCCAGAGGGGTTATTAACATTTTGAGACTGAAGCAGATAGGCTTTTAACTAGCATTAAGTCTATTTTCGATTAAACTGTTTTAGTGTTTGAAACGTGACTTATTCAGATTTAGATTTTTCTTTAATGCTTGCTATGCCGAGTGCTGCAAATGCTGAGGATGTGCAGGATCATTTGTAAATTTCAACAATCGGAACTGAAGATTTAATACTTAAGGCCATTGTCATTCTTCCAATGATGGTCGGTAACACTGATTTGTTGCTCGAAGTTAAGATCAAAGTGAACATTTCTCAATGTAGATTTTATATGTTGGCTCTTCCAATAAATCATATCTGTGCAACTGCACTATTGTGGACTGTTCTTCCGTGAACTTTGTTTTTCCCTTAAGGTTTGGAAGAAATTCAGTTAATACATCAGCATAATGCGGGTTATTTTATAGCAAAATTAAATTCGTAGTTAACTTTCATGTAAAAGTTTTTTTCATGTAAAAAAATTCAGTTGACAATGAAGTTTTTGATCCCATCGAGATGCGTGTTTTATCATTCAAAATTTCCAGGGCAAACTGTTTTTGTTGTTAACTGTACCTGATTGCAGCTGCTGAAAGTCAGTTTTTTTTTGAATTGATTCCCAGTACACGTGCATAGAAAACGAATACAATTGTTAGAATTGTTCTAGACCCAAAACTTTCCTCCACCTCTGCCAGAGGAATTTAATTATACATGAATTGAAGGAATTGAATTATATATCTTGTTAACCTGCGATAATGTTGAGTACTTCATATCGAAGGAGAAAACAAAAAAATCAGCCAGCTTATTAAAATTTATAAACGCGTGATCAGGGGAGTGTAAAGCTTAAGCAATGAAAACCGTGGAGCGAACTGTTAGGTTAATGTTTATAATTGTCTTAGATATAAAGGATTGAACTATGCTCTTTGGCATGATACCTGACCTTCAGCCTGATTCAATCTTGTACCAAATCTAGCATCTTTTTAGTCTATATTGGAATGCTTGTATGTTTCCGTTACTCTTTCTAGATTAATTGCCAGAAATATACCAGCATTTGTTGATCGTAGCATCATCAACTGCAAACCGTTAATCTATTAAGGAAGGTTTTCCTTCATTTCATCATCCTGTAAGAAACTTTGCTTTATTTCATTTCTTGTCCTAAATTCCCCTCATTCAATTATTCCCTTTGCATATCCCAGTTGCACTGTTTACTCATTTTACTTCCATATCTTCCGGATTTCATGATTTCATCAGTTCGGCTCACTTCCATTTCTTATCTATCGCTTCCATTGTATTTTCGCATAAAACGTGCTGCAGAGTCGGTAATTTAAATTCAACAAAAAAGTACTAGAAAACATTGGAATAAGACAAATGAGTGGGGTACATATTTGAAAAATATGAATTTGCATATATGTGCAAACAATTTTTGTCAAAAAATCTGCGACACCATGGAGCAGATAGATATTGCATTGAGAAATGGTACTTTTTCCCGGGAATAATTTGACTTTGATGACATAAATGTAACGATGGTTTGCAGAAATCTTTTCAATTTTGTTTTATCTTAGCTTATTATTATCCAATTATCTTTTCTGGCATCCTTTTTTAATTGTTTACATAATTTAATTTACACTGTAAGGCTTATTTAAAAATTCTATTACTTGAGCACAATAAATTCAATTGAAGCGAATTATGCTACAATTTGAAATGATTTGTTTATCCATTTTATGCAGCGCCTTCATATATTGTTTTTTTCTTGGTTAAATCTTTGCATGTTCCTTTTTTTACGCAGAAATCTTTCCATAACATTCAAATGAGTGTATACCGAATCTTGCAGTTTAAATCCAAAGAGGATGGAAAATGTTAACAAAAATAAATGAATAAATAAAATGAAATAAAGAATGATATAAAAATGCAACAGAAAAAGGGAAGCCTCAAAAAAACACTTCATAAATTTAGTGCTTTGACAGTTTATGCTAAAAAGTAAAAAAAAAAGTTCTGAAGGAGGAATTATACAAGCAATGAAAATGATGCAATTTGAGCAGACAGCTGGTCCCACATTGGACGTATGTAAAAAACATATTTGAAAAATGCACTTCTGTCGATCTTTTCCTTGTTTTTTTCTTTTTTAACAATTGGCAAGAAATTCATGAATTGACATTCATCAAGTATGATTTTTGAACGAAATAGCACTATAAATATTATTTATAAGCTTAGTATGGGCGTTCCTTAACTTTCCATCATTGCAATCAGCAATTCATCTGTGAGTGTACAATTTCAATCGAATTCTTAGTGACCTTCACTAAAATCTTTTTTATGTCCAAAAGGAAAAAGTAGTGACATTTCAACACTTTTTACATGTTTTGAAAGAATGAAAAAATATGATAAATTAAAAGATCATTGATCAAACTAATATCATTTCTTAAAATTCTGTAAATTCAATTTTACTTTGCTTCAAGTAGGAAAGTTAAATCTTTTCATATAGGCACATTCTTCGAATTTGTATGTCAGGAAAAAAATATTTTTATATGTGAGAAACACGTTTTACTTCTTGTTCTTTTTCAACAGTGATCGTTAATCTTTCAAATTTTACTAGTTGCATTCAACTTACTATATAATCGAAAATAGCAAAGATAATTGGCAAATTAAATAAAATATAAACACTGCGTTATTCTACACGTAAACTTTTGATCAACAAAGACCGAAATGGTTATGAATATGAGTAAATAAGCGGAAGATGAATTCGACGATTAGAAGATTTTTGTTTATAAAGAGCAATTATGAATGAAACATACTTTGAAAAAAGCTCAGTTGAAAATTCTGTCATTCATAAAAACCTTTTCATTGTCGAATTCATCTAAGCATTGAATATCTGTCATGTTTTGTGCGATTTCATTTCGATTGTCTGTATTTCCTTTTTTATTTTTTCCTATTTCGGTATTATATTCTATTTCTATTTCTAATATCAAATTGCTACTACTTAGAGCTTCAGCCAAAAACAGCTATCCATTATATATTGGTATGTTGAGGATCACCGTGAATTTAACTATTCGAAATTTTCTTCTTTTAGTTTCTTTTTTAACTCTTTTTCATTCACTTTTTCATTGTATCTTATTCGACTCAATAATTTCGTCCTTTTATCAATAAAAAAGTAACGGCAGTGCAGCTGCTTTAATCGGAAATGCTATATTCAGAAAATAATCCCTGAAAGTATAGCACTTATTCATAATGCAAAATTGAAAAAAAAAACTTTCATAAAGTTTCAGTAAGAAATATCCTTCATGTTATGTTTTTGCTTAATTTAAATTTCGCAATGCAGTAAGCAAAGGGAATAAATGCGAAGAAAATACAAGGGTGCTTCAATATTAATCAAAATTGAAACACAAAATGTGATATTAAAAATTGAAAATGGTATTAGTAAGAATTATTCATAAATTCATTTAAGAATGAAGTAATATTTTCAGAGAAAAATTTCTTTATTTAAGAGAATTACTTGCATTTTTTAAAGATTATCATAATGAAGGAAGAAATGAGCTATGTGAAGAAGGTACATTTACAAATAAGCAATTGGCCTGAAATTTAAGTGATGTTAGGCGGAAATTTTAATAAATTACAATTAATTGTGCCTTTTCTGTTTCTTTTTTCCCTTTCAGTATTTTTTGCTATGGAAAATATAAAGCAAAGCACTTTTTTCTATAATGTGTAGTTATTTTATTTGCATTATTCTGATTGATCTGACTTTTAACATTTTAAAGCATTCTTGAATAGTCTGTTGCATTACGTTAGCATTTGTAATTTTGTTGACCCGATTCTTTTTTTCTTTGTGCCTTTGTTGCACAATTTCTCTATGTATCTCCGAAATGATAATAACAATTTCCCTTACAACAGAGGCAGTATGATAACGATGATAACACTGAGAAATGGGTGAGCTTAAAAATGTTGGTGTTTTCGGAAGAGTATGAAATATGCTTTTTTATTTATCGTGCGCAAAAAAAAAAAACAACTGCTAAATGAATCTGAAGAGTTTCAGAACTTTGACAAGAGTTGTTTATGTTTTTTTGGATAGGAATATCTTCCCATGCCAGAAATTTTTTTTCTTTCTTGTTAGTATTTATTCATGCTATACTACTTGCTAAGCTATTTGATAAGGAAACGAATATGATTTGAAAACAGCAAAAGTAAATGATGCATTCTTGTGTAATTTATTTTCCTTCCTTCGTTTTTAAACGAGTTCTTATAGCTAAAAATAAAGTTAAAATGAAAAAATGATCATAATAGTTCACTAAAAAAGTGAAGGTTTAAAAG